GGCCTTCTCCTCTATTGCTCTCATAATGCAGTCTCCAGTATAGGGAATGTCCATCTCTGCCAGATGCTGGGAAATGCCATCATACTATACACCTTCCCTGATTGCTGTGATCATATGGTACCACAGGCTCTGGCCCTGTCTGTAAGGCAGTGAGCAAGCTGATGTCGGTGCTGGCCAGCTGGCAGCCTGGTTGGATGATCCAATGAGGCATTGTAGAGATGAGATCACAAATCAATCACCAGAAGAAGCCTGCCACTGTGGAAGCACTGTGCAGCTAGGGGCCACCCACGTGTGCTGCATTGTTTGTACAAGTAGGTGGGTCCTGGCCAGGCTGACTCCTGGACAGTGGAATGCAGACAAGTGTCCAGACAGGCCTCCTCTGCAGTATGGGATTGCACTGGGAGGTCCATTTGCACTCTTTGGGCTAACACAACATTGCCCTCTGCTCACCATGACACTGACAATGACTGAGGCTCGATCAAGGTGGACCTCAAAAAGCACAGGTGGGTCAGCACAGTCAATAGCATAATAGAAACCCAAGTGTGTGTGTGTAGATGTGGCGCATGTTACGGCCATGCTAGGGAGAACATGCTATGTTAACCATGACAAGTTGGACCAAGCCATGATGGGCAGGCAGGTGTAGACAGACGCATGGACAACAGGAAAAGGAGATTTAATTTTGCAAATATAAAGTTTGCGCTAGAGAGAAAACCACTGGCCCCTAAAAATGATGCTCCTCTAGATCTTCCATCAAAATGTTCTCCAAAACACAAGTTCCAGGAGGCGCAGAGCAGGAAGCGATGTTCTTTTGGAATGGTTGGGTGTGTACTAGAAATGGTCCCAAACCGGTTAAACGTTTTGAATGGGATTTTATGCTTCTTAAACCATAGCCCTGAGAACCGTCCAGTGACGTCAAGATAAGTGCTGTTCACACAATACTGAGTGAGACACTTGGGTTGAAATCTCAGGCTGCATCTCACTCCCCAGCTTGGCAGATGTGGGCTTGTCTACACTTACCGGGGGATCGATGCACGGCGATCGATGCATCAGTGGTCAATTTCGCAGGTCAAGACCTGCTAAATCGACCACAGATTGCTTTCCCGTTGACTCCTATACGCCACCAGATCAAGTAAGGGGAGTCGATGGGAGAGCATCTCCTCTCGACATTGGGTAGTATGAACTCAAGCTACATCGACTTGAGTGACGCTATTCACGTAACTTAAATTGCGTAACTTAGATCGACTTTTCCCTGTAGCGTA